TATAGGTATAAACATGAAAAAAAAAGCGTTAAATAGGTTGATTGTGCGCTTCCCACGTGACGATATCATCAGTTCAGGCAGAATTATGTTTAACAGAACCTAGACCCTTTCGGAACAAAAGTCACTGCTTACCGGTAGTCCATCTGGCATCGCCGCCTCTTATTGATAGCCGATGGACAAATGTACGGGGACATCTATGATGTGTGAAATATGTCTATTATGTGCGTAGAATTACCAAGGTTGGGGATGGAGTTGGTATATACCCTTCCCACCCCTACAACTTTCCGCCTCCATATCTTTCACTACTTAAAATTTCTTAAAAATGACAGGATCCTGAAACGTCAAAAAACTGAGTTTAAGCGATTTTCAGTTTCTTTTTGTTTTGGTTTTTTCCTCCGCAGCCACCAAATACAAAGCTGTTTACTCCTAGGCGTAGAAGATTTGAAAATGTCAGCCAAATCCGAGCAGTACTCTCCGAATTATAGGCGGTCCAAGGATCAGCGGTCAGGCCGACAGACCAACAGACCAGCAGAAATATGTGACAAGGTTTTTGTAGTGACATATAATCATATAATATTCGGATAACTTCATAAATACTTCATTTTTCAAATTTTTTGCGATTACAACACTTCCTCGTCAGTATGTGTGTGTATATGTTTGGGAACTGCTATGTTGTTAATAAACTTCGGGGGTGTGTTTCAATAGCTCGGTTCATATAATGTCTTAACTGGAATACTTTTAACGTCTATTTTACCATTTAAATTGTTAATATATGATTATATGTGAAGTTAGCGTTTTAAATGTTTTTTTGTAGAGCCCTGAAGGAGCACATGAATTTTGTGCAACGTCGACAACTTTGTAACGAGGAGCTGTGTTCCTTTAGGCCCCAAATTAACGTCTCTGCTTGCAGGTCCCACCGTATTCCTGGTTTGCATTTCCGTTTACCGGGCTTAGAAGTTTTTTATATACCGAAGCGGCCGCACAGGAAGAACCCTGAATATCAGAGTACTAAGCAGGTAGCAGTCTGTCGAGTCTGTCTGGTAGGCACACCGCTCGGCTACATCATGGAAAAGATCTCTGAAGAGCAAAGCTCGAATCTTGTTGACGTAGCGGTAGATCGGAGGAGGTCCGTCGTTGCGAAAGGGGAACACCTGCATTGACATCGTGAGATAGAGAGGAGAACCCGTCAATTACGACGGATATCTTGCGGCCACAGAGGAAGTCTGCCACCCAACTGCAAAGCTTCTTTGAGAGGCCATAAGATGGAAGTTTGTACAAAAGAGCAGCATGCCACAGCTGATCGACTGCTTTCATTATATCAAAAGCAACGACATCAATCTCATCATAAGACTGGAGGAGTTTGCTCCACAGTTACGTGACATCAGTTAGAATGTTTTCTGTGGATCGCTGGTGCCGAAAACTGTGCTGCCTGTCGCTAATAAAGCCGTAAAACCTCCGATTTATGCACCTTTCCAACACCTAACTTAAATCAGAAAGTTGAGCTATAGTTGAGCTATAGGGCTGTAGTTGTAAGGACCAAGAATTGGCAGACAGAAAGAACGGCAGACAGCAAATCGAACAAAATGAGTGGCATGGCGTTTCCTGATGTACATGTAACACGATATTCAAAAAACATATCTCATTTTCATAATTTTCCGCGATTGCACTGCGTCCTCGCCCATTGCCGTGGACAGTAAAATTCAATAACTTTGAAGGGGAGACCAAATCAATTAATTCTGTACCAGCCGATAAGCGGTAACCCCAAAGCAACTGCTGCGGATATAGATAAAATACTCGACCTCAGGAGTTTAGAATAATATTTAGAAATAATAAATAATTTAGAATAATAAATCTTTCCAGCGAAATAAACATCACGGACCGAAATTGATTTTTAGTCAATGCTACGTGACGCCACCCCTCGTAATAAATTGATAGGCCATTATAATTTATTTATTGGTAGAAACACCAGAGAATTCATGCAAAAAGGTCCAACGAATTGTGATGCGATCAATTCTATACACACCATTCCAAGCTTATTTAATGAGAATAATACTGGGTATATACAATGATGGAAATAGAATTTTCATGTTAAAGGAAAAAGTTTGACCACTGCAGCGTTGTGGGAATGTTTTTTTTACGTATATTGCCTTTTTATCTTTGACCCGCCACGCAGACCTAAGGCCTGCAACCACCTGGGTACCGTGGGACTATACTGAGGGCTATACGGAGCTACACAGGAAAAGGGGGGGCAAGACCGACTACAGCAGAGAAACTCGTCGATGGCGTAGGCCACAAATGTTGTAATTTCTTTATCATGAGTTATCTATAAGAGCGTAATAATCAGGAAATGTGAAAAGTGTGGTAAGAGAAAAAGACACCTGCCAGTAGGTGCAAGTGACTTCGGCACACAGACTTCTATCGCAAATATTATAAATTTACTTAACACATTTGTACTTTAGTTTTGTTCTTACAATATTCATGGACTATTCCATCGACGTGTGCATGTGACATGCACACATGCAACCTCGACAGTCTAAGACAATCACAGCATTCATAGCCAAGAAACACGTACTCGAAAGTTACAATAATACAGTTTTTTGTACAGTATGATCAAAAAATAGTGGTAGAATTTTGAAGTAAAAAGTACAATATAGTTATTGATGTGTCCAAGATGTTAAGCGCATAGTTTATGGCACCAAGAGATTACACATGTATTACGCCCATACTATGAAATTTTTATCTATGAGATATAAATCAAAATATATAGCATCTTTTAAGAAGAGAGAGTTCGAGTGATCCTTTTTTGGGAAGGGGCTCTCCTACCTCCACGGATCAGCCATCGTTCTAATACACATCAGAAGTGCTTGTCCTGATATAGTAGCAAGCTAACGTTGTTTTGATTAATAATAATAATAATAATGATAATAATAATAATAATTTATTGGTACTATTACACAAAAATGTGTTTGCACAGGTCATTTAAAGTAAAACATAAAAGAGTAAGTAAAAGTAACAAACAATACGAAAATAAGACAAACGTAAAACACAAAGTGGCAATAAAAGGTAAAAAAACTTGATAAAACTATTTTAAAATTTAGAGGAACAATAAAATAAGATGGTTAAAAAATTATGAAATAGTAATCATTTTTTCATGTTTGTACTCAAAAGTCCTTACACACGTCTGGAGAACGATAAAATATAATACAACAATAACACATAAAAAAAACACAAACGAAAACAAAGTAATAATAGTCAACAATTATGGAACAAAGTCGGTTAAATCATTATTTAAAACTCATCTATGCTGTAAAAAGCTTTCGTCACTAGATATCTTTTCACAGTTGCTTTAAAAATGGTTGAGTTGAGTGTTTGACAAACTTGGGCAGCGCATTAAAAATTTCACACCGAAATAATTACTTCCGTGTCTAGTTTTTGAAGTCTTGTGTACTCTGGTATTAATTCATTGTTGAACCTTGTGTTATATTTGTGAATCTCTTTCGGAGTTCTGTAATCATCGTAATTATTTTTAACGTGGATCAGACATTCCAGTATATATATGCATGGCACAGTTAAAATTTTTAGGTCGATACATGTCGTCTTGCAACACTGTCTGAAATATAAGTTTGCTATTATTCTCAAGCATCGTCTCTGAACAGCAAACACCTTCGATACATGACATGAATGTCCCCAGATCAGTATGCAGTATTGCAAGTTAGATTGGAAGTAAGCATAATAGGCTGTCATTAAAGTCGATTTTGTTACGTAGGTATTTAAAACTACGTATCATATATGTTATTTTAGATAACTTCTTTGATAAAGAGGTGATGTGTGATTCCCAAGTTAAGCTTGCATCAATAATCACTCCAAGAAATTTCACGGGCTCTACTAAATCACTTCTATGAGGACGAGTACTGAGTAGAAGAGATTGAGTTTTCGCTATGTTGATTGACAAACTGTTGGCATTAAACCAGTTTGAATGTTGTCAAAATGCTGCTGAGAATCGAGCAATACATGGTCAAAGTTACTATTGGAGGATATTGATGTCGTGTCATCCGCAAATAATATATACTGATTGATGCTACAGTTTGGCAGATCATTGATGTAGATCAAAAAAGAATCGGTCCCAAGACACTTCCTTGGGGAACTCCGTGCTTAATATGCACATTGTTGGATAAACAATTTTGAAAACTAACATACTGTCTTCTATCTGATAAATAAGACGCAATTAAGGACAGGCTATTATTACTAAAACCATACAGCGACAACTTTTGAATCAAAATGTGATGTTGGACACAATCAAATGCTTTTGTAAGATCATAGAAGTTAGCGAGAGCAAACATGTTATCTTCCAGACATTTGTTGATGAAACTGATAAAATTGTTTATTGCTGCTTTCGTTGATCTGTTGGTACGGTATCCAAACTGGTTGTTACAGAATAAATTGTTACCTTCGAAGTATTCACATATCTGATTCTTCAAAAGAGTTTCGAAAATTTTTGCTATAATTTTTAAAAAAATAAATTGCTATTATAGAGATGGGTCTGAAATTACATGGATCATTCTCACAGCCTTTCTTGAAGAGTGGCACAATCTTTGCAAGTTTTAATAAGGCAGGAAAGACATTATTTTCTATACACATGTTTATCAATTTTGTTATAGGATATACTAACAAGTTATTTAAGGTCTTGATAATTTTAACATCGATGTCATATGGATCTTTACTTTTAGAATTCTTTAAGCTTTTGATTGCGTCTCGAACATCATTGAATGAAACAGTTCGAAAGTTGAAATGTAGTGTATCACTAGTCTGTATAAAATCTTTGAAGTTCGACTGGGTAGCTGGAATTTCAGCGATAATGGTTTCAGCAACGCTGACGAAGAAAGAGTTTAAAATCATTCGCGTTGAGAGTAGACGAATGTGCTTTTGATGATTGCACACCATTGGATTTAATCACGTTCCACATAGCTGCTTGTTTATCTGACGCTCTACATATATATTTATCATGAGCATTTTTTCCTAATTCTGATTTCTGATCGGTACTTTGATTTGAAGACATTAATCTCCTTCTTTGACACTACTTGGGGATTATCTTTATTAATTTGTGTTATTAGTTCCAAAGTCTCTCTCATATGAGCCAATTCGTGATCAAACCAGTTGATTTTGTTGCGGCAACCCTCTGATACTAACCTAGATTTGATTGGCAAGCACTCAGCGATATTATTTGTTAAGATGTTCATGAATCGTTCGAGTTTAGTGGTCAGTGGTAAACTAATATCAGACAAAAAGATCCAGTCGACTGTTTCAATTTTACTGTATAACTTGAAAAGACCTTCATCAGTGACAGGCCTGTAGTTTATTCTCTTCCTAACAGGTTTTAAAGTTTTAAAATTAAAATGAAATGCAATACCTAAATGGTCAGAAAAAACATGTATCAAAGGCTTCTACAACTATGCTTGACATGTTTATATTGGTGAAAATATTATCTAGACAAGCATTCTGCCAGTATTTACATTCACAGTCTGATACAGTTCAAAAGAAACACAAATATCACACATCACATTGGCATGCTTGTCGTGAGTGTTAAATTTAAAATTAAAATCACCAGATATGATTATATTTTGCTTATAGTCTAAAGTACTAAGTAGTATTTGAAGCTTATTATAGAATATATTGAAGTCTCCATTTGGTGATCTATATATGGTTAGAATTTGTGTGCCATCCAAACAGGTGACACCAGCAACCTCAAAGTGTAACTCCTCAGAAATGTTTAAAACTTTGTCATACAAAGGCTTAGCACTAAACTTATTATTGACATAAATACAAACACCACCGTGAATTTTGCTTGACCTGCAAAAACTAGACACATTCATATATTCACAAATATGCAGAGTATTAATCTCATCACAAGTCAACCAATGCTCATTCAAACAAAGAAAGTCATAACTGTGCTGTTTTGCCACCAACTCAAGTTCATCAACCTTGTTTCTGAAACACTGTACGTTTAAATGTAAAAGTTTATACCGACAATCATTCGTGCGCACTTCACAGACGCGAGCGTGTGATAAGGAATTTTTCGATACATTCTGTTTACCCGAATCATGTCGTACTAGGTGATTAGTATCGGATTCCCACTGGCCAGTAAAAAAGCACCAGGATTATCACTGTTGCAATGCACTCGACGTTCCATTTTATAAATTGGAATTATTGGAGGCGATAACAAAACGTTTCTTTTGAGGGTAGAGCAGCTCGTCTGCACATGACTTCTTATGATGTTTGCCAGTGATTTGCGAAAACCATTCTTTACTACTAAAAACTTCACTGAACAGTTGGGGTTATTTTTAATATAACTAGTTATTTTCTTTTCCAATAGAACTGCTAAGGCTTCATCTACAGGCTCGGACTTTAGAAGAATTACTAGATTTGTAAATTTATCCAGTGGTAATACATTTCTAAGAAAACTGTTCAATGTTTTGTGGTTGCTCATGCTTTTGTGCTGAAAACAATAATTACATAGTCACTTTGTCCATGATCCATAGTTTGAGTGAAAATATTACTTGTGATATTTGCAGCCTCTGTGTTGGGCTTAACAATTCCTTCAACTATATAGCCTATGCTCTTCATTGAATTATGTAAGACTCTAGCGCAATTTCTGGCCAATTGATCGCCCACAATGAGCAGTTTCTTGGAAGTCTTCGCACTGTTCCTGGATTGTTTAAAAAGTTCATCATACAAAGATACATTTTCCTCAGTCGTCCTCAGCTGTTTATCCCTATCGTCTAATATATTCTGTTGATGGTTGGCATTTCCTTCAGTGTTTTTCGACAATCGACACTTGTCTTCTTTTGTTCTTTCTTCTAATTCGCCTATTTTCCTTGAGTATGCATTGTTTGTTACTTCCAAAAGACTAATGGTTTTCAGCATATCGGCATGAATATTTTTTAGCTTCGTCATCTCTGTTTGCATGTCTTTTGTCATTTGTTCATAACTGTCCATCTGTTTCTGAAGGTTTTTGTTCTTCTCTTCCGCGTCGACTATTTCTTTTTGTAGTGTACACATTCTTTCTTTTTGGTTTTTCAATTGGTCTTTAAAAGAATTTTGCTCTTCTATGAAACTTTGTTCAGATTCAAAAACATCTTCTTCAAAATCCTTGGCCTTCTTCGTTAATCTAATTATATGTTTCTCTTTATCTTGTATCTCGTCCTTTAAAGAGTTAATTTCTGTAGTGTAAGAATCGTAGTTTCGATACTCGTTATCCTCCGATGCACAGGCAGCAGAACAATATACTCTGTTATTTGAGAGCTTTACAATTGAACTCAATCTATTTGCACAGATCGCGTGAAAAATTGCATGGCATGATATGCAAAAATAAGAAAGAGATTAGTGGATTGGTTGCTCAATGCAATGCAATGGTAGATTTCCGCTGTAGTTGGAGAAAAATACTCATACGAGTCTATGGAGCATTTTCAGATTTACTACATCCAATTCATGCAATTTACGAGAGAAATCTAAGACAACATGGTCCCAACCTTCGGCAAATCAATCAGGAAAAAACAATTCCGCTTTATGTCCCTGACCTCCATAAATCCTCCGATCACAAAGCTTGTTTCTGTTCCTCTTAATATCAAACAGCCTCGGAATTTGTTTCACCCTGGGGAGTGCCACATAATCGACTTGTCCAAGAAACTGGAACCTCCGGTCATTTTGGATTCGCCAGAACGGCTTTACGGTAATGAAGGTGGTAACGGACTCTGCCAAACTACTATCTGAGTATACATACTCGTATTATTTGGGTAAATTCGGCTCTTGGGTAGAACATTCATTATAAGTCTATTTTAGTGATTATTTCGTTACATTAGCAGTTGTGGGCAGCAGCGGTGGCCGCAGTAGTAGACTCTTCGGTCTCCTGAACAGTCGCCGTGCGCTGTGCGGGTTCGAGTCCCGTCTCTCGGCTATGGATGTTGTGATTGTCCGTAGGTGGTAGACGGTCTCTGACTGTCGAACGCGGAGGTACCACCCGGCGGATCTCGTAGGCGGAGCCAGAATGTGTGCATGTTGCATGCACACGTGTTCCCTCGCCAGAGTCCGTGTGGCGTTCACCCTTTCCCATGTATCCCCCTATCGCCCCACGTTACCCAAGGGGTGCTTAGGCGTTAGGCCTTCGTGGTAGTTGGAGTATAAAAAAAAGATTAAGAAACCATTCAACCATTCGCTAGGAGACAGTGCTGGTATATGTAGCCCAGAAAGTTCATCCAGAAATAAAGCGGGAACCCTAACAGAAATAAATAGGGAAAAATATGTGTGAGTAATGATATCGATGTACGTTTAGTATGAGCAGCATAACCAATATTAAACAGAAATGCCCGTGGCCCCGTGTCGTTCAGCCAACTGTTGTCGCATACAGAAAATTATCGCTTTCCGCACTTGTTAGACAAATAACTATTTCTACGCCACTAACATCTAAGCAGTTTTGAACAAGATATGTAGTGTTACATGGATTATATATTTGCGAAATGTCTTGTCCTCATGTCTTCTCTTGCCATTTCTGCTTTCATTTTTGAACATTGTTGATTGAAATTTTTGCGTGACACCAATCCCAATGCTCAATATGCTTGCACCTTTAGTCCTAATATAAATGTCACCTCACCAGCTTCATCGTATTTTCAAAGTACAACTGTGAATTCAGTTCATATGTATATTCATATTATATAGTACCTTTTATTTTTCTTTAAAAGGAACGGTCTGACGGAAGTATTTCAAGCGAAGCAAAAGTTCCGCACGTTATTAAAAAATGGCTCAAAATAGCATTTTATATGCCAATATCTGTATGCTTTGACCATCATCCTAGTACTATATCTACAGAAAAGTATCAGTGTCTGTAAAGTCGCTTTTTCGGCCTGAAAAGAAATCAAATCCTCGGTAGATCGCTTCTATGAAATTGTGGCGTTAAATGCTTCAAAGTATGTTATTTTATAGCTTATTCAACATTTTTCTTTTAATGCATGTACATAATTGTTCTGTAGACAGTCAAGCTTCCGCATTTTTGTCCAGAATTCACTAATCTTTGAATATCTAACTTACTATACAGTGCATTTATTTAATGTTCCCCTCCTCTTTGATTTTGATGGGATCAATTAAAAAAATTAAAACAAAACAAGTTTTTATCGCTGTTGCTGTGAATTACAATTATTTGTAGATATATGCATGTTAGTGGGTTTATGTTCAAGTAATTTTATTAAATGTACCACCATTTTGTAGTAGGTAAATGTGACTTTATATTCTAGGGTTATAAAGTACTCGTCAGTAGCTTCAAAGTGATGTGCCACAAGACCCCCGTTTTCATATAATTTTTTTCCAAGATGGCACCGAGCGGCCATCTTGCATTTTCATCTGTCAATTTTACTCTAAAATATGGTATTCACGCATCAATTTCATTGTCTCAAGTTTTGATTTTTTGAATTGATCCGTTCAAAATATGAAAGGGGAGGGGGACATTAAAGAAAAGCTCAGTATATCTTTATTTGAGCTCATCATCACAAAATTATATATAATGATAATTTGACTTTCATGGGTGGACGCAATGACGCATATTCATACATTTTTTTTTGTTTCTCGATGTCTTTTGTTATGTATTTGAACTAGGAAGTGCTGTGGCGATTCGTTTATATGAAGATAGTAAGTCAAATGTTTGAAACTGGTGAGTTTGGGGCAAAACGAACAAATTTGTGAGGCCCGGGCTTTCAAAGAAAGTATTGAAAAAATTGATCGAAAGAAGCTTGAGATACGCATGTTCTAGTATATATAAACTGAAACTTTTGTGTTTAACATCTTTATATCAACATTTAGTTTTATCTTTGTACGTGCTATCTACCTTCGGATTATTCAGATATTCAGAACCTCAAGAAAACGTATGGGTATGCTTTGAAGTTAAAATGGGACTCCGCCTAATACCTTGATCTCGTGGGTGTGCCTCATGGCTAAGCGGCAACTACTAAGGACTGAAGCCCCAGTCATCCTACAACTGGAAATATGCAACTTTGTGAACACGTGATCAATTTTTAGTAGTATTCTTAGGGTATATAAAACTTCATATTAAAATAGATGATAAAGTATGTGCTTGAATAACTGTTAGTTTATTCATAGTTATTCTACATTACGACAAAGTTAATACACATTCAATATTTCATGTTGCTGTTTTTCTAATTATGATTGTTCTGAAATTAGTGGGGCAGTCGGCTGC